GTTTGTTTTGAGAGCGATACTTTTGTGACCCAGTTGAAAGATATAAATATAAAATCTAACTTCTACTTCAGCAACAACACCAACAACAACAACAAGCACCTTCAACCGAGTCAGACAGTTAAAGTTTAACTTAAAGTCTTTAACTTGCGCTGTGACTGTTTTTATCTAATCATACTCGAAATTCTACTTTATTTTATTTTTTTAATCGAATATATATTTTTAAAATTCTGTTTTCGTTGTAGGGTCCAGTTGGTAGCACTGTTGCCTCGCAGCTAGAAGGTCGGCGGTTTGCATCCCGGTGAGGACACCCGGGATCTTTCTGCGTTGAGTTTGCATGTTCTCTCCGGGTTCTTCGGCTTCCTCTCACAGTCCAAAAAACATGTTGAGGTTAATTGGTGATTCTAAATTGTCCGTAGGTGTGAATGTGAGTGTACTTGGTTGTCTGTCTCTAAGTGTAGCCCTGTGATAGACTGGTGACCTGTCCAGGTGTCCCCTGCCTTCACCCTGAGTCAGCTGGGACAGACTCCAGCCCCCCCCATGACCCTAGTGAGGATTAAGCGGTGTATAGATGATGGATGGATGGTTTTGTTGTATGTTTATGCATTGATCGTCCTCCTTAGGAGATCAATAAAGTACTCCAGCAAAAACACCCAAAACACTTCACAAAGCAATGCAATGCAATCCAACGCCACTAAGCATCTGTCTGACACGGTTCAAAATTGGCTCTCAAGTAGCATTTATTACAAAACTGTTTACTTATAGTAGAGCGCACTATGTGAAGCCTTCATACACAGAAATAGCCTCGTAAATTTAGATTGAAAAGTGATTTTGATTGTTGCATATTCATAACAAACATGAATCTGATCAAAAGTGCAAACACAGGCGTCTGGATAGCTCAACAGGTTGGGTGGGCGACCTATGACCAGTGGCTGTAGTATCTGACGTGGGTTCGAGTCTGGCTCATGACCATTTACTGGAGGTCCTTCCCCGACTCTTCTCCCCATATTTCCTGTCTCTCTCTCTCTCTGCTGTCAACTATAATAAAGGCCGAAAAGCCCAAACAAAAATGCAAACACACAGTTTTAATCTTTAGGAGATACATGCAGCATGTTTTCTGTCCGGGAGCAGCATACCCGTGTGTTTACATTTGTTTAGAGACGGCAGCTGCTGTTAGCGATGAAGCAAAAAACTTCATGGTGATATCCAGTTTAAATGAGGCTTGGAAAAGATTGTGTCTAAATAGAAGGTTTGGATTTGGCGAAGCAAATTGAAAATGTTGTGTTTGTGTGTCAGATTGCAGGTCAGCACTTGAAGACGGTCACAGAACATTCCATCTATACAGTTAATCACTTTGTTCTGCTGCGGCCCTTTCTGAAGGCTTGACCCACATTACACGAAGAGGTTTGACCCTGATCTGGCCATGAGTCGCTTTGCTGGTCTGCCTGACATATAGAGAAGCAGCCTGTTACGAAAGCACCACTCTGACTGCAGTGCTGTAAACAAAACAATCTTACAATGTGACACTCCACGCACAACAAGAAATACTTACAGTACGTTCTGCGAGGCGCCCATCTGCAACAGCAGCTTTACAACGGCCGGATGTCCATTCCTCACAGCGTCGTGGAGCGGAGAGTCGTTTTCATAGCCGGGCGTGTTCAACAGGGCTCCTCTGGAGACCAGCACCTCCACGACTGCCAGGTGACCCAGGTTACATGCTTCGTGCTGAAACAAAAAAAAAGCAGCAGTGGTTTGAGGTCACAGTGCTCTGCTCAGATCTGGATCTTCTCTATTATCCTCTGAAATACATCACTTTTCCTCTCAGTGTGGATTCTGAGCTCGTATCCATCCTCAGTCATTATTTATCTTTTTCCAGCTGATGTCATTTGAGGAGAAGGAGACGGTTGCAAATGAGCTCCATTACCTGTACGCTAGAACCTCTGATCCAATATGTGCTCCCCTCCTATGGATGTTTCCACATGAGGAAGTCAAACAACTCAGTGCCAATCAGATGTAACAGCTTCATCACACTTCATTAATTTTGTAGAAAATAACCGAGTAATACCATCTGAGGAGAACACATAAATATTCCCTGCCCTACTTTTTTTCCTACTTTCTAAAATTAACACGAATGGTGGATACAGCCGAATGAGAGTGTGTTTTTAAACTTTCTGCTCCAACCAGAAATTAATTTGCCGTTTTGAAGTTAAAGTTCAAATGGAGTTCTGAGAGCTTCGTTTGGGAATGCAATTAAGACACACGGCAACAGCTGAACAGTATTTCAATAACGCGAGTATCTAAAACGCCGATGCTTGAAATAAGCTGGGCAGCAACGATTTTATTAAGAAGCTGTTTTTGTTCCGGTTCGGTTACATTCGGGTCACAGAGTTTAAACTATTAAGCGATGGGCTGTAGAGTGATTCCCCCCCAGCAATTATAAATATATATATCAGCCACTCTGCCACATACACTAAACTAGCAAATATTAAAACAAATAGGCAGCGTGTTATCTCTACTGTCTCTCAATATTTCAAATCCACAAACTAACAGAAGGGTTTGTGGCAATTATTTCAAGTAATGTTGGGATGTTTCCAAAATTCTTCAGTGCTGACCATCTGCAGCAAACAAATGTTTATTTTGCTCACAGTTAACAACCAAAAATCCGTGGATTTGTAAAGTTAAAATCTGGTTCTTGTTGCTTGTTTCAGGCTACACAAACACATTAAGCACAGACATTTAAACTCTCTAACCCCACCACTGTATAGCTAATAAACCAAAACAGGTGTACTAGTGCTGACAGCGCAGGCCTGGAAAAGACCCACCAAGGAGGTTCTGGTTGATTGTTGCACGACGAGTCAGACAGCTCCCAGCCTTCTCAGACATACGCCGGCAATCAAATATGAATATTTAAAGTTTTAAGCTTATTGGTAGCAATTTAAAAGATCAGCCGCAAACTGCCAAAATTCTAATCGAAAACTCGAGTCTGAGTGCAGCATCTTGACAGCTAGTAGCCACATGAATAAAGATAAAGGCAAACACTGATTCTCAAAGGAGAGAGAAAAAAAAAGAGTCAGCCAACAGCGAACGAAGGCTTTTCCAACTTCCCATGTGGAGGAAACATCAGGCTGAGAGAACAGGCGTACGCTTTTTGGGAGAAATCAACATGCATAAAATAACAGAAGCACTTGAAGTGATGAACTCACTCAGGGTTAGAATTAGTTTCTGGTGTCGCACACTTTCAAACGTGCAGCACTTTCCATTGTTCTGATGGCGTCAGCACCCTGGACACTTTTTCATAAAAGTCACAAAGGCTATGTTACAAGGTCAACAATAACATTTACCTTTATTTTAAACACTATTTGTGTAGCTGTGTAAAGCACTTTGGGGAAGACTTTTTTCACAGCACAAATATGGGTCCAAAAACATCACAGCAAGCGCAAAAGACACAACACAACACACCTCTCCCATTCTTTTTTACATTTTTACATCTATACACTTCAACAGGTCAGATTTGATTGAGACTCACCAACAACAAAAGTTATTCGGGTTGGCACAAAACATTAACCGGAGTTTAGTTTGATGCTTCCAGCTGTTTGCAGCACCAAACAGCTACAGGAGCCGTACGAGCGTCTCCGAAGCGAGAGAGAGAGAGAGAGGTGTGTGCATTTACACAAACAGCAGCCACTTCATTAGTCGCTTGTAATTATAAACTGATATGGAGACAGGATCGATGGGGATCTGAGGGCAGGTCACACCGGCTACTTTTCTTCACTTCAGACAGGAGAGCTGTCGCACACACACAGTCACAGCTTATAAGCTACAGTGAAACCATTTGTTACTAACAGGCTGCGGACTCCTGAGCTGCATCACAGCCATCAGGATATTTTTATTTTACTGCAGGTAAAGTCGTAGTTAGATTATCATCACACATGGATGGATTTCTTGGTGTTTAGAATATCATAACTAAACAAGGCTACTGCTTTTTTTAAGACAGTTTGGTGAGGTTCTAACTAGATTTAGGCTTTTCTGCCTCATTTGATGTAATGTCCAGTTTTGCGTGTATTCATCACCACCCTAAGGAACATTAGCATAAATGCCACACATGTCTAAATAACAGAATGCTTTAACAGATTGAGGAAACCAGCAACTGCATGCATCCCATGTCTGAAAAGGGCTTTATTAGCTTACCTAAAGTCAAAGTCTTTATTGTTATATTTCACATTGATTTGAACAGTGTTTACTTAAAAAGTGGGCAAAATCACTGCTGGTTGTAGGTCAAGATTCCCTTAAAGCAAAGAGAAACAGCAAAAACAACCAATTGCATAGCAGAAATAAGTGTGAAAAGAATGTAGAACCTTTAGCTTGCATGCTAATGTGTCACAACAAGGTAACACACAGAGTTGTGTACCAGAGAAGATGATACGTGTTAAATGGCAAAAAGTAAGTTCAGAATAAAAGCTGCAGGTGTTGACCAGAGAAGAAAAGTTACAGCGAACATGAAAACCTGTGTGGAAAAAGTTTTTCTATCAACGTCTAACAAACCATGAAATCGCTGTGGGTAAAGCGGACAATAGCTTCTGTTATTGACAAGAAACACTACAAATCTGTTTCATCAAAAGGAAAAAAAAAAAAAACCCTGATAGCGTAGAAAAATGATTACACCCGTAAAATTGCTGTTTTGTTGATGAAACACTTTGTCACAGAGACTTTTCCACTCTAAAAATAGAGCTATCACTTACCAGAGGTGTCCACCCGGCGTTATCCTTCAGGTTGGGGTCAGCCCCCTGGTTCAGCAGTTCCTTGACAGCTTCTACATCTCCCTGCAGGACCAGAGAGAAAACAATCGTGAGGTCAGAATTGCGGACCCTTAAATGCAAACCTTCCAACGCAGCGGCTGATCCCAGTGAACCAAACCTCCGAGGTTTATCAATAAGACTCCACAGCGAGCCATTGATTACCTTGTCGGGGATCCGGGGGGGGATTACGACTATGTTTACAAGGATTACTGTAAGACGGTGTATTCTCAACACGCCGGAGCGAGGCTGTCTGATCTTTGAAAGACTAATATGCTCACCTACACAGGAAAGGCGGACATTTAATTATTTTTGTTCTACATAACAAAAGCTAAAAAACAATAAGGAAGGTAAAATGTATTTTCCTCATTCTAATTTCTGGTGAATCCTTTATTTATTTTGGTCATTTTTTGAATAACAAATGACAAAGCAAGAAGAACTGATTCGACTAACTTATGTTTAGATTTAAACACTCGGTTTAATTAGAATACAGAGCACAAAATGCTTTGGCTCATTCTGCTGTCGGCCTACTGCAGGAACATTTGCATTTCTAGAATGTAGCAGGGAACGGAGTGAAGTAAATACGGTGAATTATTCAGAAAGCTCTCGACCTTTATTGCAGCCAGATGCAGCGGGGTCTCTCCCTTGTGGTTCCTCTCCATAACTGCAGGGCTTCCTGAGCTGGGCCGCCCAACAGATGCTCCGGGAGAACGTGGAGATTTCCTGTTGCTTTCTGTGAACACAGTGGGCGAGGCAGAGGGGCTGCTTCCTGCTTCTCCTCTAGAGGTTTTGGTATTCTTATCACACCGGGGGCTAGTCAGAGATGAAGGGTTAAGGACAGCTGGAGACATCTGACCCGGTGATTTTCTCCTTCGGCCTGGAGAAGCCCTCGGCCTCTTTGGAGTGTTTTCCAAGGTGCAGTTTTTCTCCTTCACCCTGCATCTTTTCGAGGGAAGCTCTGCGGGAGATAAGTCGTCCCGTTTGTTGGGACTGTCACTCGGGTTGGGGTCGTTTGCCGACAGGTTGTCATCTTGAACGCCACTGTTCGACGTGCTCTGTCCGGGCTGGGTTTGGTAATTCAGCACGGTGACGCTGCCCCCTGAGAGACTCTCTCTCGTTGTGCTTCTGGCAGGACTGAGTTCATTAGTACTCCCCTGTGCCACTTCAGGCTGAGGCTCATCAGCGGTGACAGCGGGGCTTAGAAAAGAAACCCTTTTACTGGACCTTCTTGCCCCATCAGCACTGTGCTGCTCGTTTTCAGATGAGGCGTGTGCCTCCTCCGTAATTCCCCATTTCTGGTTTATAGCCTCTAGCATCTTCTTCTTCATATTCTGCTTGGTCTGTTTACGTGTGGGCCTGCTGGCTCGGTGCACCACCACACTCCTGCTGGTATCATTTTTCTTATTTGACCTCTTCTTCCTGTTTCTGTTTTCGTTGCCGCATTTTTGAGAAGAAGAAGAGCCGGAGTCTTGGGAGGACGAGGTGAAATTGAAAACTGACAGGTCCTGTCGTTGAGAGGTGAGGGCGCTGAGCTGTGCTGCAGCTGTTTCTCCAGGAGACCCGCTGTCTGGTACGATGGCTTCTGAAGGCTTCTCCACGGTGCAGCGTACCTTACGGCTACGGGGACTGAACCAGATCTTGAAGTTCTTCTTATTTTTAAAGACGGAGTTCTCGGGCTGCGTTTGAGTCTCAGCCGCAGAGGAGTCTACAGTGAAGTACGAAAAACATAATGAAGAAAAAGCACATTTAACATAAGAAAATTTTCCATCATTCCTGTGTATAATTTTTCAATGTGAATTCCTGTCAAGAAAGCTTTTTGTATTTGTAATAACACCACCCACTGAGATTGAAAAATACAACAACGCCACACTTTATTACGCAACTAATAATACAGACATCTGACAGAAGTAGAAAGGCACCCAATTATTTTCCTAGACCACATTACTTTTGTGTAAATTTAGACAACAACCTTGCACATTTCAACTACAGGGCTTAAAAATGTGCCTTAAAGTTCTTTATCAAAACCGAGATCGACTTGCAAACTAAACACTGAAATAGTTGTTTGTGTTGCATAATCACTGTCATTACCGGGATGCTGGATGGGCGATAAATACAATAAACCGCAGGAACAAGCCACTAATACTGTCATTCAGAGATTAGATTAGTGGAGGGAAATGTTTAAACGTTTCAGTCAACAACTGATAGAAGCGGGGGGTGTGGGAGGATGAGCGTGGTGGGAGAGATAATGAATGAAACACATGGATTTGAGAAGACAACTTGTTAATTATGCGGTCGAGCTGATGTGCATATAGCTCCACTCTACCTGGTTGTTGTATGGGATTGAGGAGGGACTCGAAATCACAGAAGAGCTGTATGATGCTGCTGAGCTGCCTGTTGATTTGAATGTCCTTCACCCACGCAGGGCTGTGACACACCACGCAGCCGTCTCCTGCCCGGGGGCCGGCGCAGGACCTGAGCAATAAACATAACTTACATTAGGAATCCACTTCACAGTTCAGTAAGAAGAAATACAATGAGGATATTGATTCCCCTCTTAATTAGACTGAGCCATGAAAGGAAAGCTGTAGTTTATACCTACAGGAGCATTAATTGTCTTTAGAACTGTAAACCAAGGACCCACATCACTGCCATACTGAGTGCAGTGTTTCTCCTCCGCAAGAAACAGTCCTACCGAATCAAATCGCGTCTCGTGTTTGAGAGAACAGGACTATTCACACAGTGGGCATTTTATTTGTCATAGCAGGAGAGGCATACTGTAGGTTTTAAATACCAATTAGGTGTGCAAGCATGCCCTGGCAGTGAGCCAGCATGCAAATTTCCACAGGCCTGTCAGTCGCACACCTACATGAAATGAAGTCGCCATCATCGTGATTACACCATCCATCATCTATACACCGCTTAATCCTCACTAGGGCTGCGGGGCGCTGGAGTCTATCCCAGCTGACTTAGGGTGAAGGCAGAGGACACCTGGACAGGTAACCAGTCTATCACAGGGCTACACTTAGAGACAGACAACCAAGCACACTCACATTCACACCTACGGACAATTTAGAATCACCAATTAACCCACACTGGACCCACACTGCACAACATGGAGACTCCACGCAGAAAGATGGTGTCCTCACCGGGACGCGAACCGGCGACCTTCTTGCTGCGAGGCGACGGTGCTAACCACCGAGCTGATTACCACTGATTACGCCAGTGTTTGAAAAAAAAAAATCACCATCACAACAGATTTCTATTGATAATGAGCACATCACTGCAGATTACACTGAAATGACATTACCTGCACAGCATATGCTCGCACATTCCCAGACAAACGGGTTCCTTCAGTAGGTTCAAGCTGGAAAAGAAAAAAAGATTTACAAGTGGTCAGTGCAGTCAGAGTAGGAGAGATCACCTGTGTTGACTAGGACTGTATACTCTTCTACAACTCCAGGACCCACAAGTGAAGAAGCTGCAAGATAAAATAGTTCTTTGGGCAACTTTTTAGGACACGAGCCTTTCACCATAACCAGTTGGCATATTATATTTAGGACAGTGTTAGTGGGAAAAGGTTTTAGTCTTATTAAGAGTTGAAGGATGGAGGACGTCTAATGTTACCAGCTATAAAATCCTTTGAGCCAAATATGAGCCAATTTTGGCTCATATACATCGACGGGTTGGATTTTTGCTCATACTGATATATGCACATATGTTTTTCCACCGTATTGCAGAGAACATCATGTCTCTCCTGTAGTGAAAATAATCAATACTATCAAAATGACTGGTGCAGACATAAAATATAATGTCTTTTACACATTAACTGGACAAAATTAGAAAACTACTTTAACTTACATGCAAAAAATGCCAGATTATTTTCATCTTAAAACCTTTAGCTTGACATTTTATTTTTGGAGCAATACCAGTGACGATGCTGATCATGCATCTCTAACACAGACAACTTATTAAATGCAGACTTCAGAAGGACTTCTTGGAAATCTTAGCCCGCTAGCAGAGAAGTACATTAACCAAAACCTGTCCACCTGAGCAGCCCACCAGGCTTGTGAGGGATGTTTTCCTTACACAGCCTTCATCCCTCTGCCCATATGCCTGGAGGGAGAGGGACTGAAGCATCCTGGAGTCCTGAGTGTGTAACAGCTTATTCCTCTGGGCGATCAGGTGCCTCCACATCCTGCTTCATTCGGAAACACTCATCTGAACTGAATCAAGCCATCCACCCCCACTGTCACACAAGCAAACAAACACAATTTGCAGGAGCACCTTGCTGGGACTTGGAGTCTGTGTGCTCACTTCACTTTATGCTGCTATTTGCGACTTATTCTACCTCGGAATTGGTTTGCATAAAAAGCCAGCATGTCAATCTTTGGGCTTCTCCAGCTGCTACAGTATTGTACTGTGTACTGCAATTTGTTGTGGCCCAACAAAAACGCTTTACTTTCCTGTAATTCACCATAAATTCCACCATATTATGTCTGTTATACTTTGTCATTGCTGCACAACAGTTTTCTTAAACCCATCGCACTATAGCACACATGCACTGAACGAGCTGCCAATAAACACTTTAGCTTCCTACGAGAGCTGAACTTGAATAAACACCAAACTCCCACACAACGCTGTCGAGAAGCTTAATTAGCGTTATCGTGGGAAGTTTTACGATAACCGACGTGTGACAGCATTAATGAAGTTTCTATTTTCCCAGTGTGCTCCTGCTTTTTAATAAACCTTTTGTTGAATCACGACCTTGTGAAGCCACTTTCCCACCGAGCAAACGTGACTTAGCAAGCTAGCGCTACCTTCCAGAAACGTCGGTTAGCTTGTTATAAATTAGTATTTACGCTTGTAATTAGTCCTGTTCAGCAGAGGTTTAAATTAGTCAATACGAAGCTAGCTGCCAATACTTGAGTCATCTTCTTGTACCAGCTCAAACAAGTGTTTACAGACTGGTGTGTAGCAGTGGTTTATTCTCTACGACAGTTATTAACTCACCATTTGGAACAAAGCAGAAGTTGTCTGAAGTTCGCGGCCGCCTCCTTCGTCTTCTCCCAGTCCTTCGTCTGCACATCCACATTATTTTCCATCCTTAAAAGAACCGGTTAATTGTTTCCTAGCTCCTCTGCTACGACCGTGTTACTTAATCAAACCTTCAAAACAAACAGAACTTACTTCCTGATTTCTTGCATCTCCCGCCGAGATGTACGGAAGTGACCTAATGTTGCCATAACGTAGTTCCGGCCAGCCCACATTTAGGATGGCAGAAAGCTAAAAAGTTCTTTAAAAAAAACTATTTAAAGTGCACATTTATATATTTAATATTAAAAATATCTGAACTGAGGAGAGTTAAATGATAATATATCATATTCATTTATCTGTACTCTTCTAATTAATGATTATTTATGTTTTTATGAATCGCTTTTAATGTAAAGATTGACTTTATCTGTCTTCTTATAGTTTTATGTGAAGCACTTTAAATTGTCTCGGTACGATTAATTTATTAGTTCTGAAACTCCATTTTTTTCTATTTTTTAAATTTTTTTTGTAGGTGCATTTTAATCTAAAACTGCTCATTACTGTGTACATTGTAAAGGTTATATTATGAATTATATCATACTCAGGTCCTGATAAGGCCCTGAGGTACCCTACCAACGGGATCAATAAAGTTCTATCTAATCTAATCTAATCTAATCTAATCTAAAAAGACAATATTAACCACTGAAATCTGTCACACTCACTTTATTTCTATCTTCACTCAACCAAAGTATGTGTATAACACTTTCCTTACAAACAGAATTTAACACACAGTGCTTTACGGGGGGAAAAAGAAAAAAGTAACTATACAACATCCTCAAACAGACCCCGACCTCCTTCCTCCAATAAATAACTATGGTATAAATGAAAGATGCTTTAAAAACAGGGACAGGGGAACTGAGGAAACAATATCGTTAAAAAAAAAATAAATCTCAATTTCATAAAATTACAATGAGGAAACACCAGACAGGTAAAGACAAAAATTCCGAATAGTAAAATAAAAGAACAATAAAAAAGAAAAGTGTTAAAAAACAGATAAAACAAACTAGCGTGTATAAATAATAAGCCCAACCAAATTACCCCCAGCCATTTAGGTTGTTTATTTCGTTGTTTCAGTCCAATGTTCTCCTCATCAGGTGAATTTTGAGAAAATAAGATTCGGCATGATGAGATAAGATACCTGGTGGTTTAGCTCAACCACAGCAGCAAAACCAGAGATCATAGCAGCGACCCGGCGGTCAAACACACAAAGAAAAGCACTTACAATAGTTGCACTTGAAAAATAGCTTTATTACAATTATAAAAATAGGCTCGATACATTCAAGACCATGTGAAGCTGGCCAATAAGCAGGAAAGTCCATTAAATATTCAGTATATTCATTCCAAAAGTTAGCTATGCCCTTAGAGGTAGTGTTAATGAGAAGGGGAAAAGTGCACATTGAGTTCTGAGTGAATATTTCTTTTGTCAAATTTCATCTAGTGGGCCTAATTACCTCAGATTAAAAAATGTACTTCTTCACACAAGTTATATATTTGTTGAGTGGGTGCCTGAAGATGATGTAACATCGCGGTTTGCCAGCATTAAGCTCAAATGAAAGTAATTCTCAATCGAATGAAACATTTTGTTTTGCTTTTTTATTTGCTGTGGTAAAATATTCTAGTGATGAACAGCACTGCAGCCACAGAGAGAAAATATTAGAGAACACAATTAAGTTTAACCTTCATAAATAATTAGATTTGGAGAAATAAAGGTAAACATACAAGAACAGTGATGCGATCTGTAAGAAAGGAGAAACAGTAAATAAACATGAGACTAATTCGTTGTTTTTGGCAGTTAACTTATTTAACTGCACCTGTGCATGTATGCAAATGTGCATGTGCTCTTCTGCTTGCTTGTCATTAACAGTTTGATTTGGTAAATATAGAAATGTAATTTACCCTTCATGTGATGAGTCGAGACATTCAAGAAACAATCAGTATTTTTACAACATAAATGGTTTAAAATCCTATTTTTTTAAACATATATTTTAAGGTCGGATTTACTTTCAGCAGACACTGTGTTTCACCTCACAGTGGACAAAGTGGCAAAGAGAAGACGGCAGCTTTCTATGTTTGTACAGCCTTAATGGAGTCGAGGCCATCGTCTTCGTCGTCCACTGGTATGGTGTCCATGCCGATCTTCCCCATGGCAAAATTGATGAACACCTGCGGAGATTTATTAATAATGTAAGACCAGTATTGCCAGTATTGAATGCAGTTGTGTTTTTCTTAACTCCAGAATTTTAGTAAATCTGCTGGTCAGCTTCTAAACCCAAACCCCCTCTTTCTCCTCTGCCTATGGTATCTTCCAATCCCACAGCCCCAGAGGGGCAAAGTGGTTGAAGAATATCAGCACTGGCTGCATATAAAGCTCATGGATTCTCTCCCTAACTCATATTCCATTTATTTTCCCTCAGGCATACCCTCTGTCAGTTTCCCTCTGCCTCTTTTAAACTTTCTCTACTCCGTCTTTCACTCCCACTCAGCTTTTTTTCTGTCCCTGCTTCCCCTCCCACCCTCTCTCTTCTTCTCTCATCTCCTGTCCCTTTTTTTCCGCCCCTCTCTACCATCTACCCACCCCTACAAAACCTCACACTAGTTCTTGCTCTCTCTCAGTTTATGTCCTGGCTTTTTTTTTCCTTTTTCTCACTTCATCCAGTGTGGTCTGGCTGACAGAGAAGTGTTTGATCTGCAGAGCAATCTTGTTGGACTCCAGCTGGTCGAAGATGTCAGCTACCCCTCCAGGAGCGAATGGTACGTGGTACTCCACCATGGAGGAGTGCTGGTCCTGTGTGTTGGGGAAAATGCACAGGGAAAGGGTTAAAAGTAAAGTAAAATATAATAACAATGCTCTTTGTGCAAATAAAATATGTCAAATACTGAATATTGCAAACTGTACATCACTACCAATAAAATAAAATTCTCAGCTTAGTCAATCTAACAGTAACAGACATTATTTTATGGGGGAGGATTCTTTTTTTTTTTTTTTTGGTGTTCCATTTATAGTGCACTGTATAGACACTGAACTTCTGAAACAAGCCTGGAGCACAACATGGTCTTATATAATGAGTTGCCTTCTAGTCTTAGCTATAAAAAAAAGGCAGCAATTCTGATGAAATTATTCATGGGTAGCGAGATGTTAATGTCAACAACTCAAGAATTCTTTAAAGCTGCACTAATCAATATTATCATACTAAGCGGCCCGGATGTGTAGCATGGACGAGGTTAACCACAGAAAGCTGTCACCAGAGTCTGCATTTGTTTTCACAGGCAACAACTTTTCTATTTTAGCTCTGAACAAACTAATTTGAGCAACAAAAGGCAGCTTTTTTTTGTTTTTTCTTCTGTTTAGTTTTTTTTTTAAACTCAGATAAACCCAATTATATGCAACCTGCCCGCTACCAAACACATGAAAGACAAAAGATAGCAACCGGCTCGCAAATACAGTCGAGTATTTAGCAGCTGAAGAGCCCAATGCTTCCCTCAGAAGTTGGTAAAGACAAAAATAGACTTAAAGGAGGAGTGAGGTGAACAAAAACACGACTCCGAATTAGTGCTTATGTTGCTTTACGTCTGCCGGATGTGTGAATAAGCAACAGCTTGGCGTTAAAAAAAAACAATGCTGCCTTGAAAATATGAACACAACCAGGTAGGGCACCTGTGGTATGGAGAGGATTTAACGGCCCATCTGTTGATGTGAAGTCAGTCAGGTATATTTGTAAGGCAGACTGAAAACAATGCCAACAAAAGGATCATTTTATCCAAAAATATCATTAATTAAGTCGTGTCCCTTGTGCTTTACACTCCACTGCAACCCACGTTTGTTCTTTTCTCTTTTCTCTCCTCTTGACTTCTTTGGATACGTTACAAAGCTCACCTTGAGATAGGTGCTGGGGAACTTGCGCTGCATGAAGCCCGTGATTGCCTCGGCATCACAGGAGGCCTCGGCCAAGTACATCTTCACTGTGAACCCGCTGCCGAACCTGCACAAAGGAGATTTTAGCAGTTTTATTACATGTTTGAGGTCTGGGGAGGTGTGTGTGTGTGTGTGTTGAGGGGGTTGGAGGCGGCGCTGTTCTTACAAGTAAAATTGAGCTTTCAGGTGCACAAAGGACAACGGGGTGGCGGGGGGGGAAGGAATAGGAGGCGGCGGAGGGCAGGGTGGGGAGAGCAGCAATGAGTGGACGGTAGGATGAGCTGAGGTCACTAACCTGTTCTTAATGTGCTGCAGGGAGCCCAGGCATCGGAACTGACCTTTCACCATGATGGCAAGACGGCTGCACAGCGCCTCACACTCTTCCATGCTGGGATACGGAGACAAAGAGGAGACGACGAAAAGGTCATTCAAGGGCCTTTTGAGCTTAAAGTAATTAGCCATGCAGGAGTATACGCTATTTATCGAATTTTTACTGGCAAGAAAAATCCGCATGTGACATTGTTCTGACCTGTGCGAGGTGAGGACCACGGCACATTTTCCTTTCACTTCTTCAGAGATGATTTTCCACAGGTGACGTTTGGTGCGGGGGTCCATGCCAGAGCTGGGCTCATCCTGTGGAGAGAAAAAACAGGAAGACGATAGCAGAATTTTTTTACATAAGAATAGAGAGATTGCGGGAAAACAATACATTGTTAAAGCAGCAAACAGAGCGTAGTGCATACAGCAGAAGAAGGGCAAGAGAAGGGTGAACAGGAGTGAGTGTAGAAACGGAGACGGGACACCTATTGTTACAGGGAAAGCAAGGAAAAAAAAAAAACCTGAGGAGAAATGAGGACAAAAACACAACAAGAGAAACAAGAGGTAGAGGGAAAGTTCACGAAAGGACGCGGAAATTAGGACGACGCAGGGAGGAAAGGGATAGAGAGAGTCGAGAACAGCAGCGAGGAGAGAGAAAGAAAGAGAAGAAAGGATTTGATAGAGACATAAGGTAGAAACAAAAGCTACAGGGAAGACCACACTTGGGTAAGCTTGAGGAAGCAGACTAATTAACTATATGAGATCTGTCAAGTCTGGGGGATCAATATCTACTTTACTTCAAAGACCGTTTCAGGAGGAACAGTGTACAGTTAGTTTAATATTTGTTGTCTAGTGGCCAGTTAGCCAATTAAATGCGCGGCTGCAGCGGCGCGAGCAGGTGTGTTCTCACCAGGAGCAGGATTTGCGGATGACCAATGAGAGCCAGCGCTGTGGAGAGCTTCCTGCGAGTGCCGCAACTGTAACTGTCGGTAATGATCTTTCTGTGGTAGTTCAGCTCCAGCCTCTTCAGTAGGTAGTTCACCAGCTGTAAAAAGGAAGCATGCAGGGGATTAACATAGAGCAAAATAACAAACACCGCACGAGAATAGGACGATCGACCGGTGCTCGCAAAACACAGAAGTGGTTGGACGGCACCTACTTCTACATGTAAGCTTTCAAAGCAATGTTAGTCACCGAATGAATTATTCATGATTGCGTGGACAACGATCTTTAAATAATTAAACCGTATGTAAATGTGAAATTAAACACACTCTCAATCTATTTACTAAATAAGGTGCAAAAATGTTATCTGGTGCAAGAAGGAGGAAATGTTTGGAAACAAACAGTCGTACTTTAAGGCTATAATGTTTTCTTTTTGCAAACATATCTCCAAAAAAGTAACGGAAACCTCCAGTCCATGCCTGCTGTAAACTGCTAATCAGTGCAGAGGATGTGTAGTGGTGTTGCAGGCTGATAATGGGAGTCAATAGGTCTAATGATGGCTCTCCACGGCTGTATGGCCATAAAGGGGAGGGGGAAAAAAGGAAAATGAGACAATTTCATACATTAGTATGTTAATTCCTAGTTTCAAGCACCAAGTCCAGCCTCCCCTGTTAGCTTCAGCAGACCTGAGCAAACACTGGACCTTAGTAGTGATAATCCATCAGATGCACGGCCACTGTGCTGATCCATTACACCACTACACATACTTCAGTGTCTGGTCAGAGCAGGGAAATGTGGATTTACAGGGCCAAAGGGCAAAGGGTAGCCCTGCTCCTTATTGGCTGCTTGATATTCATGTTCTTCCTGTAATTGCCTCCTTCTGTTCTTTCCAGCGCAGCAACCCAGTAAATAACCGAGGTATCTATCGGTCCCATTCCCATGCATATTTAATTTTGTTTGTACAACAATGATGACTTTACTCGGTGACTTTATTCTATCTGCGCTCTATGCAGTCCTGAGGCTGCAGGAACTGATGCAGCATAATCCATTCGGTGCACATCAGTTTATCCTGTGCAGTGAAAGCAGGAATTAAAAAACCCTTAATGACTCATAACCATTTCAGTCACTTAACAATCTCTATACTTGCCTATTACTCACATGAAACGGCGCGCTGTAAATATCGTTTTCAAATAGCTCGAGGTGATTTCCCATCGGTAAGCTTTAGCCGTGCTTTTTCCCCATCAGTAGGCAAGTTTGGAAACGAGATCAATGAAGCAAGCAAATGCAAAAAGATACCTTAGTTCACTTAGATTCTCTGCTCTTCCTCTGTGAGAAACACCTGCCTTTAACGTTTCTCTGTGATTCTTCACTGATGCAGGTTAAAATTACATACTTAAGGAAAACACACGGCGCTCAGCGTCTAATTTTAAATGATTAGCACGGGAAACACGGCATGCTACTGATAGGTTCTGATCAAAACATGTTTACCCATCATAAAAGCCACTTTCCATCACCTTTGATGTAACAGCTCATTAAGCCGACAAAACCATGTCAATGCGAAATGACCCCATTAGGGCTTGTCTCATTATCCACAGCTAGGGGACTGTCAGCGGGGGAGACAACATAAGAGGAATGCTATATATAACCTCATCTTTGTAAATTAGCCTGATGTCGATGCTGTAGCCATTATAACCATTGTTGTCACTACCCTGACCGGAGAAGAGGAGCTGTAACAACAGCCCTGATGGCGATTAGTGCCAGACAGATCCATTTCTGTGCTTTACTGTCTACGTAAGCATGTGTGTCTGTGTATCTACGAGAGCACATTTGGCGATGTGTGCGCTCCGTTTTGTTGATAGCATGACTCAGACTGTCAGAGACGATCAATGTTTTTGTGTCTCTGCATCCAAAGCCGAGAATGGCGTCGAGAGAGAGAGAGAGACACACAGGCAGATGTCTTTTTGCATAAAAGTCAGATTTGTCACGATGTTTTCTACAAATTTTCACACTCCTCAAAGCTGCTAATTTTCTGTTTCTTTCTGTTAGGAAAAAATAAAAAAAATCCAAATGAAAGAAAAAAAACATTGAGATGGAAAATCTGAAATCTGATGATTGGCTGCTCTGAGAATTCCTCTCATGTCGCAGCGAAAGACGGGCTCACTCAGTAATCACCGCAGAAGCGAGATTGATTAGTTCTCCGAAAGATAAATGGGAAGAATGGGGCTAAAGTGACACGTCAGAAAGATTCTCCCCTCATCAGAGGATCATTTAGATATACATTTGTCTGCACTGAAGCACGTGGCATCAGCTTAATTTTGAAATTTGGCCTGTACGAGCTGACAACAAAAGCTTTTTTTTCCATTTCGCCTCAGATTGCGCAGCTTTCGGTGCACATCATTCAACACTTCACACCCTCTGATTCAGTATGCAAGGAAGCAACAGCTACTAGTCCTGCAGTGGGAGTGCACCTTTGAATTCATATCAGATCCGGTGTCATTTTGTGGATGATGTTGTCACTACCCAAGGCTTTGAAAGGCAGCGCGGAGTGTGCAAGCTCTTCCTTACCCCGTCTATCTGCCTCTTTGAGATGCCACGAATGCGAGCGTAGAAGTACAAATGCTCTTCCCCAGTGAGCAGGCTGTCCAGCGCATCCACTTGGGGACAGTAGCCGATGTTGATTCCCTTGTTACGGCATTCCATGATGTCTACCAAGCGCCTGGTGAGAGGAAAAAAAAAACACACACGAAAACAGACAGACTCTCTTTAGTGTGCATGTAGGTTGTTTCGGCGGACCTGCTCCCCGTGCTGGGAATACCCACCATATAGAGGAACAACGCAGCAGTAATTGGAAGCCAAGTCTCACGAGTACAGGGCTGCTTTACACAAGCTTCACATACATTTTCTACTAAATCTCAAGGGTTTTATGTTTAAATTTCGACTAATGCAAAGCCACAACATTGCCTCATTTGTGGATATGCTAATTTAATCGAGCTGGGATGCATTAGTTCTAGACAGTGCAGCTTGGGCACCTGTAGAAATAAAAGGAAGGCTTTGTGTTGTGGTTTGCTGGCTTGTCTCTTGTTGATTCCACAGCGATAAGCACAAACCATCTTCAGTTTGCAATGAACACCAGCATATCTGCATATTTAGCCTGACACGTCCACATGTTGGGATTTATTTCTTGCCAAAAATAAACAAACTCTATTCCAGCCAGAAAACACAAACATATACCAATATTCATGCACGGTTGGTACAAGCAATCACAATATTTGAACCGGAAGTTTTAAAAAAACAAAGTTATGTGCATAAATCAATGAATGTGCAGCTTACCCATCCCTGTCCCTGATTTGTGCGGTGCCATCAGTAGGACTAACATCTCCAGTCAACATCTTGAAGGTGGTGGTTTTTCCTGCTCCGTTCTCTCCCAGCAGGCCGAAGCACTGAAAACCAACACTCCTGTTTTAGTGACTGCAAGTATTTAAACACTACACGGTGCTAGGATACAATAATTGGGCTTATTGGAGATAGATTAGATGTTTAAGTGAATATTCAGAGCAACACACATCGTAAATAATCACTTGTAAAGAAGTGCTCCTATAGCACCTGTTTCCATCTTGAGCGACACATTTTCATCCCTGACATAACAAGATGTGTTGTTCAGTCCCAAAGACCAGGCTGAATATGGTTCAAATAAAATATAAAATTAAAACGAAGCATTCAATTTATCACTTTTCATTGACTTCAAAGTGCTACGTTGTCTTTTTAGTCTATATTTACATATATACAGCAGCTAATAGAGCATCCAAATCCTCAGATGCATTTACAGGTATATGAATCTCCACTGGGTTGAATTTTAAAAAAAGACCGACAGTGCACTTTTAGTAATTTAAATTAAGTTCAGTCTCTGACTACTACATTGTACACAGTAAACAGAACAGCCTATTATGTTCCTGTCACAACCGGTTAGTCATTTATAACTCAATGTCCATTTTGTTATCCTACAGCCTCAGACTGATTCCGGTGTGTTGATATTCTGACTTCCTTATCCCTGAGGGCTTACCTCTCCTGCTGGGATGCCCACAGACAGCCTCTTCACAGCGGGGACCTTCCTCTTGAAGCGTTGATACACCTTAGTGAGCTGGTTGACTTGCAGGATGTCCGAGTTGGCCGCTCCGCTGGACACCCGAAGGTGCTCGGCCACCACGTCCTCGTCCTCGTCATTGCAGGCTACATGGGGCATGGCTTTTGGTCGGCAGAACAGACGCCTGAAACAAGACAGAATATTTTATAATTATTATATACTAACAACGAGATGTTGAAGTTAATGAGGGCGACTGGGATTTATTTATTTAAAGAAATTGGACATCTATCTCGGCCCATTAAAATGAAAAACTGTCATTTTGCATCTTGTTGTCTACTTTCCAAGTGGCTCTTTGCTAATTTAACCATTGTTTGCGTAATGTCTGCTGGTAAAATACTGCATCTAACTTTCGTACTTTTGGCTGCAAGGAGACTGCAAATCTTTTTTCAGGTTAAGCAAAAAAACACAACTTCAGGATGTGCAAGGCCATAAAATCCAGAGGACACCTAAAATTGATCTCAGCTCGACATTCTGTACATACAGTATTTTCTCAATTTAATTGCGAGGCTGGATGCGACATGCACGCAGGAGTTCATGATCCTTCGTGGCATCGAAACACCAGCTCTGGCTTTTCCCCACCTCACGCCGCGCATGATAAACTTGTTGAGCAGGAGGCGCAGGGTCAAGAAGACCACGCCTTGGATGAAGGAAGAGAGGAGCATCCGGCCCACGACATCCATGGAAAACGGGTCCCGGTAGGCGTCGACTCCGTAGCCGCTGAGGATCTGGACCTCCACGTTCATTCTGGCCAGCTGCAGCAACCCGTTCCCGAAGTTGAATTGCGGGAAGATGAGGAAGATGTGGTTCAGCGAATGGTAGATGTCTTGGATGATCTGAGAAGACGTGAGGATACAAAAGTGAGTTAAAGGGTAGCAATCACCCTGAAGTGTTCACTTTCCTGTCAATTCATATAAGTGCTATTTGCTCTGGTCACTCCTCTGTAACTCACTGTCACCTCAGCCACATGGACTGACCAGGCTTCATTCAGCAGTTAATGAAACTACTTCAGCGCTACTAAGTTCCTAACAAAAAGCGTCTCTTCTCCGGCAGCTTATTCTGACCTCCGGGTTGTGATTGGAGATTTGACCCATGAAGTAGAGGATGGAGGTGGACATGATGGTGTTGATGGTGATGAAGAGGTTGATGCACACGTAGGTGAGGAAGGCCATCTCTGCATCTTTGAAGACGCCCGCTAAGAGGTACATCCAGGGGAAGGTAGCAAACCTGAGGAGGTGACACAGACAGGATACTTCAAACACGAAGAATCAACTAATAATATCTCCACACGCAAGAGCCTTAAAATAGCCCCGCTGTGATCTGTTTGGGCTGGTTTCAGATTCAAATCAAAACACACAAAGTGGATATAGAAAATTTATAAAGTTCTCCTCGCAAAAGCACCTCCTGAAACGAGACAACGTTCTATTTTTACCAGAAGCGGTCGGAGTCTTTACCAGACTAAACAGAGAAGCTGTGAGCCTGATGAAAATAGGCACCGAGGAACGCTGAGAAAGGAAGGTGGAAAATACCAACACCACCAGGAACGTAAACATTCAGTCATGACGCCAAAACAGAGGAAGATAAATTACTCCTCTCTTTTTTTTTTCCCCCCTCAGGTGGCAGAACATCTTCTTCCATTTTTTTTTTTTTTTGGTTGTCTCTGTTCTCTCCCACATAATCTGCTTGTTCATTTGATTGGGGTGTCCGGGTCAGCGAGACAGAGGGGAGGAGAAAGAGATGAAAAAGAAAAGAGCAGGGTGAGAAATGAAAGAGACAGACACAAACAGATAGAGCCAGACAGAGACAAAGCATCTGCGTGCCATGGCCAAAAAAAAAAAAAAAAAAAAGGTGCTTGGTAGGCAGACTGTGGGTGCCAAGACATGACAAGGAACAGAGGCAAGAAGGCTGCGGACCAGACCAGGTGGGTGCAGCCTGACAGATGGAGCGCTGCGATTACTCATTGCTTGGGAGGGAGACATCTGTCTGATAAATGAGAAGCACAATGCTGACGTGGCCCTCTAAGATCCAGGGCTCAGGACACAAGACCTGCAAACACGGGAGCCTAAACCCCGGCTACAGCTGGGGGATGCTGCGAATAATCCCGGTAAATCCAGATGAGAGAAACATGACACATCATTGCTTTTGATACCTTCCCAAAATCTAAATCTTATTGTCAGACTGATTTTAAAACCTTGGTATTTCGAGATGATAGCTCGTCTCTATCTCACACTAAGTCATATTGTTATTGCCATAAGCCCTGTAGCTTCCTGATCCTCCCTCCTCCTCCTCTCTCACTCTCTCTCTCACTCTCTAGCGTTTCTTGCTTTGGCTTGAATGGGATAAACAAGTTGGCAGTGATTTTTCTATCAGCCTTTCAGTCCTACCGCCATCTGTCTTTGCAAGACATTCAGAAAAATTTAGCTGCGTTTGCATTTGAACAACAGCAGCAGCCTCCTTATGCTCGGCGCTGTAAATCCAACCTGGTGGCACACAAAGTAACGCGTGGTGGAGGCTGCAAATCACAGAGTCGGAAAATGCAGGAACATTTGAGTGATCACATGACTTTGAAAAATCCTCTGCAAGAAACACGTGGTAGTTTTGATTTGGCCCGGTATGTCGTTGTTTGGAAGCAAGAATTACCGGGATGTTCTGTGTTAATGTTAAAGATGACGGTCATGCTGTGAGTACTGCCTTAAAATACTTCACAAACAGTTTAACCATAACTCAAACTGTCTCATCCATTTAAGTTTACAGTCTTGGTTCAACACTACCGAAGCTGTCACGGTTGTGTCACAGGGATCATTAGCGACAATTTCTTTCAGCTTTATCTCTAAATGAAGAAGTAGCTTTCATGGCCAGATGTGAGTCACACATGCAGAGGTGTGAACGTTCTAAGGTGCGCCATCTGTGCTGAATTACATCAAAGCATGCAGCGTCTTCACACAATCAAGAGGACATATGCTGCAAATGGACTAAATTCACAGCTGATCTCAGAGCAGGAGATCATCGAATAAACCAAAACCAGTAGCCCCTGTTTGTCTGTATGTGAAACTGCAGCATCTACATATATCACAAAAACAAAAGTACACAACAAGCTAAGAATATGTTCGCAAAATTATGTAGTCTGTTGACAGCCTCGGTGTTACATTTCCGGTTTAGTCAGAGCTGAAGCAAAAAGTACTGAACACTGTAATGTAAGTTCTTTGGCTGTACTCGTAACAGTTCTGCCTAAAAAAAAAGCCAAGAATGCACCAGTTTATGACATCTTACCACAACCCTTTACCCTTGTGCTAACATCAAGCAGTGACAGCAGCGGATTTGACAAAACCGCTTCTATAACTCTTGTACTACTGTGTTCGCTTCACCATTAGATCCATTTTTAATGAGATCTTAGCGTGAGTGTGATTTCTATCTGCTGTCCTTTCACTCTCTCCCCTCTACCCTCACACCAGCCAGTTAAAGAAGATGACTACCCCCCCCGGAGAACGGCTCCACTGGAGGTTTCTCCCTGTTGAAGGGAATTTTTTTCTTCCCACTGTCATCGAGCGCTAGAGCTCCTTCCTATGTGAGGTGAATTTAATTAGTGAGTATAAAGTTATTATAATGGACTGAATGATGGCCAGAGCCACCTTTCTTAAGCTGTAGGAACATTTTAACTTTATTAAGTCGTAATAAAATGTAGTTTTCCTTTTCACAATAGAGCAGTTGTGTAGCTACTGTGGTGGCTTTGTGTTTGAACGATATATTAATACATTTTAGTCCCATGATGGTTCATCATCAGACAAAACTTTGCCAACAACATGAGACAGGGCAAAGAATATACAATACAACACCATACTATACACATCTACAGTCTCTTCTTATCAGGTTTAGTAAATCAGCCTTTTCCCAAATTACTGACCCAAACATCAGCAGCAGGAGGGTGATGGCGCCCAAATTCTGTCGATCTGTAAATGCTGGAATCTGGAAGGCAGCGATCACGCCAACGGTCAGCGTCACTGGGATCAAATAGACGACCTGCGGGAAAAAGGTTGGACATGAAGCATCAACAAAAGGCATGCTAGTTATGATTAGATACTTAAAAAGTGATTAATTAACTCTGAATATCTCTCTGATTAAGAAAAAATAAGCAGAAAATGTTCTGAGGTACAGTTCAAATCTAACTTCTTGCTTATGTTGTGACTGAAAATAATTCCAACACACTGTATATCATGTGTATTGAAGGCTGCTGTATGTTACCATGTCATAGAAGAAGTTCACAGCCCAGTAGAAAGGCTCGCTGATGCCTGCGATGTGCTGGAGCCTCTTGGACCCGCTGTGGTGCTCTTGAACTTCGTAGATGGCGAAGCTGGCTGTTGTGATGGAATAACCGGTCAGCACGCACATGGCCACGATGATCTGGAGCATTCCCTGGACGCTGTGAGGAAACGACAACACGAATAATCAGTTATTATATCCAGAATTAGGGAATTATTCTTTCCCACGATGTTGTGTATGTTAATTCTTTTTTTCTGAGGAAAGACTTTAGTGCCACAGCAGAGACAACAAAGTGCGCAAACAAGTCAATATAGTGAGTGTGGCGTGCCGGGTCCCTTTGAATGAGGCAACCTGGTGTAAGGCTTTTCTGAAAACAATGGCCCATTTTAAAGTCTTGCTACAAATTATCATATCATTCCCTGCTGGGACCTGACTCATGTGAACTATTGAAGTGACTCACAATAAATGGAATTCCATTAATAACTAACAGCTTTGTAAAGAAGAGATCCTTCTGCCTTGCCTTTGACAAGATAATAACTGCAAAGAAGAAACAGATGGCTTCACGTAGAGAACAACTTCACACTGCTCTTGCTGTACAGTCAGTAAGCCGGTGGTGCTGCTGGGAGCCTGCGGAGCCTATTGTACAGATTAGACCCAAGAAATCCAGTTCGAGCTTTGATCCCTTAGTTGCTCTTCAACCCCGCGTGTTCGCTGAAACATTTCTGAGGCCAGCACATGTCCATCTCTCACGCTCTCTCTCTCTCTCTCCTATACCTTGCCTGCTGCTGCTGAACTACTTCCACCACTCCCATCTGGCCAGAGCACAACGCCGTCCTTCAGCCAAACAGAATAAGCTGCATGAGGCTGAAAAGAGGATGAGGTTGAAGTTGGCAGAGTGACCGAGTGGGCAGGAGAAAGAATATCAGAGAGGGACATGTGGTGGGCGTTTCAGGGCATCGCTAACTACAGAGGGTAGCCAGGAGTGGCGACTACTGAGCAGGCTTGTTATCAGCACAGCCAAGACGGCCTCAGAGTTTCCCCCCGTGGTCACATTTGGTAAATAAAGCCATTTGGAGTAATAAGTCTGCTGTATCTTTAACATGGCTGCAGCCAAATCAATACATCAAGCAGGGGGAGCCGAGCATCAGCCTGCAAATGTGCACTTGCGGCCTCTGCGGCAACAAATAATGCACAAATTCATAAATGTGGAGTATGTGTGAAACTGACGGCCGGTAACACCGAAATGGCCGTCGAGGTGGTTAGTGCTAATAAGACTCTCTGGAGGACAGACTTTCATGAGGTCATAAGTTCGACCCAATCCACTCTCACAATGATTTATTTGATGCGATCCTCTGGAACGCACGCTCGCCTGCATATATATATATAAATATATATATATATATATATATAAATATATATATACACGGAGCACCCATTTTGCCATCTGAGTCTCTAAAGCAGAATGTGAAGTATTTTAAATAAACTCATTTTGGGAAGTGGAGGAGAATCAATCCACCTCAGTGCCACCTTCAGGATAAACACTCATTATATTGGGACTCTGATCAATAGTGTAAGCTCAGGGAAATCCATTTAGAAAATCAAATATGGGTAAATACTGCTGTCATGTACCTCCCCTGCCCCGAATCCACCCAGACGTTGACGTCCCCGAATTGAAAAGCAGGATGCCTCCATAATTTATCTCAGGTCAGCCAAACAACCGCCGATATTATTCATAATGATGTGATTAATTTTGGAATACTTTCACCAATTAGAATGCTAATACAGGTCTATTTTATTTAATGTTTTCGTCCAAGTGCAGCCGTTTGTATCATTGCATACTAGCAGTCAATCCAGCAGAGGAGTTTGAAGCACAGTCCTTACATTGCATCTTCATCATCCGCCCGACCAAAGTAGGGGTGGCTGGAAACTGAAATAGCTGTAATAGAAATAAACAGAATATTATGTTAGCGACAGAAAAACAACAGCATGTGAGCCATTTTTCAGCACAGAAACCAAATGAGCAATGATATTCTCTTAGCCTGGGACACAGTCAATTGAAAAATATAGTGCAAGATGATTTCATTTGCCGGTGCACACAAAGGAAATTGAATTTTCTTTATCATTTTTTTCCGGCTCTTCTAGATGCTCACAGACATGAACCGCTCCCGCACATGTTTCTGCTTATATTTCCTCAGATAGGAGAGTAAGAGGTCACCTAAAGCGCAGCGGGCCCCAGAGCAGGTTGTGGAGGGGGGGGGGATCAGTGCGTTGCTCAAGGGAACTTTGGTGGAACTGACGGGTACTTCTAGCTAATAATCAGTGACACTACATCACGACTGGCCTCAAGTCAGATGTCCCCACATCTGGTTTGTATACAGCCCACTGGGAAACGGCTACAGCTGCAGCTAGGAGCTTAATTCATTATCAAATTACCTGACAAATTCTGGATCTATCAATAAATCATTTCCAAGATGATGTATCTAAATTGCTAATTTTGTTGGCCCTAAACCCAAAGATATTAATTATGTTGTCAAAGATGGTTCAGCCAACCAACATCATTCTAGAAGCTGGAAACCATGAAATTTTGCCATTTTTTCCCCTCAAAAATGACAATTAATTGATTACAACATGTTTAGGACATTGTAGCTCTCACTTACTCAAGATGAGAATGTGCAGCATTTTAAAAAGTACTAAAAAGGTTTTCTTTCCAGCTCTGCAGGTGTACTATTAAACAGTTGATTAACTGTATATTTGCTCTGGGGGGACGGGTCAGAAAGATTTTCCCTACAAAGCACGGCTGCAGGTAGGAGTGATCAGAATTCATAGTGTGGACGGAGGAGATTGGTGGACAGGACTGCGATGGTACATCTGCAGCAGTGGGCGGTTATGATCAGAAATCCTGTGAGAGTGGGATGAAAAAAAAAACAGTTTGATGCAGACATCTGAAGGGTCCCAACCCAGAGTCGATACTGTAATGCACAATGCGGGGGTTAGGGCATAATTTCTGACAAATAAACCAGTCACCTTGAAAAGTAATCTCTCCGGATCTCCACCCCGGACAACCCCCAGCACCGCTGTGAGTTTGCAGGTAACATTTAAATGGTTACACTTTACCCTTGGACATTTTTATCATCTACTTGGGGAATAAATGCGTGCGTCTGAGCCGATGTGCACGCACTGTATGTTTTTGGGAGCTTTTCTTAATGTGCGTTTGTGTGTGTGCTTGTGTTTGTGTAGTCCTGCCCGCAGGCAGATGGTCAGGGTGATACTCAGAGCTGAAACAGTGCTGCAAACGTGGGCCAGCCTCGTTTCTCTTTAGCATAGCTCCCCAGTGAGTGGCGCTCATCAGTATTCACCATGCATAGTGATGCGAGAGTAAGGACACACAGCACCCCCTGGCTTCAATCCAATGAAATGAAGCACGAGTAAACACACTGTTTACAGCTTGCTTTAGATTTAGTATATGAAATGCACTAGATGCTCAGTCAGGAACACTCTTTTTGTTTTTTTTTAGTTTTATTCTATATTTTCTGAAAACCAGGTGCGTTCTGAGCCGAGAGGAATAAAAGACAATCCCAGCAAAATAATATGCATATCTCTTTTTCTAAAATATCACAAAATAACCTGCAACAAATGCCAGTTTCAGGACACTAGATAACCTTTCCTGTTATTGCCTTTGACTGTATAGAATCAGTTAAAATGAAATCTCCTCAGGTGTTCTCCACCTGTTACTTAAAGTTTTACTTCTTCCTTCAAACTCTTTTTTTTTCTGCATCAAGTCTAGCTTACCATATTTCTGCGGCTCCTTGTCTGCCGGAAGATTGGAGCGTAGGATGAGGTTGCTGAGGCTGTTTAAGTATGCTGGCATTGTGTGATAGCCTTCAGGATTGAACCAGACCTACACCCGTGCAACACAAACACAGACATGCATAAAAAAAAAAAAAAAAAGAGAAAAACATCCCTCACGCTGCTGGAGATCAGAAAATGTAAGTCTGCCGCATCCGGAGCAACACACGTTAAAGACACAAAGAGCGCAGACATCGTTATCCGGAAACATTTACACACTAAAACATTGGCACAATTGCCGCAGTAAAGCATATTTACGATGACACTGATGGTGTGAAAATCCAGCTCCATCTGCACGGATTGATCTCGCAGCCAAGCAAGTTTAGTTAGGGTGTCATGTTTTTAACTTTTAACAACTCTTCAGCGCGGCAATTAAAGTGATAATGAGACAGGCAGCGCGGCAGCAGGAGAGAACGATACCTTAGACAGCGTTCGGTTGTTGGGCACGGCTGTGATGTCCATTTGCAAGTCGGGTGGGAGCGGCATGCCGAACGCAAAGCCGCCATACCTGACAAAAAAACCCAAAACAAAACAAATTGGACGTATTGATCAAACATGAAGAGCTGCAATTGCTGCTGAGAAACTAGATGTGACACGCTGGTTTTCAATTGCTTTGTTTTTTTCTTTTAATCACAGTAATTAACCAACATGCGAGCATTTCAGGGTAAAAGCATCTAACCCCACGTTGAAAGTGTGACTGCCATCATCAACAAGGTACTAGAGGCCAATTTGTATCAAGCTGAGACAGTTTTTAGGTATTTGTTTTTAATATTTGGATTTTTCTTTGACAAAACAGCAGCAACTTAGACATGGGTGATGATTATATAAAGCTATTTTCTCGAAAGAGTGAAAGGATTGTAGGGATGAACACTCCAGCCTTTCATTTGGAGCAATTGTGGACTATGAATAATTAAAGCGTCAAGCGAAAAGGAAAAAAAAAAAGAAGCTCCATACATTATTTGCAAACTATCTCAATATAATGATGTAATAAAATGAAATGTAATTACAGAATGGGAGGAAATACAAGTGCTTGGATCTTCTCTTCAAATCGATTTATTCACTTCATGTAATTAGAATGTGGTTTGTACCACACCGCACGGAATACAGCGAATTATCAGCAAGATATGGCTGAAATATAAACTGCATTCACCTGTTCCTGATGAAGTCGTTGGCGGTGGCCACCAGGTAGTTCTCCACGTTGACGCCGCTCAGATTGTAAACAGTCTGAGACGAGGGGATCCGTCTGTGGGGGGGCTGGTGCTTGTTCACGTCGCAAACCTGCAGCGTACACGACACGAAAACGCATTAGACTTGACCTCAAACGGTCACGGCTGTGAGCGCAGCAAGACACACGCGAATCACGTGTCCAAACGCACACACACAAGTGAGAACACGGAAACTCACTCTGTCACTGCTCCCAGTGACCCGACCTCACCTGTTCCTTTTCGGTGCATTTACAGACGTTAAATGTGCTGGAGCTGTTCCCTCTGGAGCTCCAGCTGTTTGTGTTTCTTGTGCAGACCCTTAAAGAGAAAAAAGAAAAGATGAAATGGTGTCTCGGTGAAATGATGGGAGTCTGTAGTGTGTGATAATGCCACGAGTCGGTCCCCAGACACATCCCAGGACACATCTGGAAACTGATGTGATGACCTGAACGATGCTAGAAACTTTTGTACCTTCGGGAGGGAGAAAAAAATAAAATCTGCCACCAGTCATAAAGTATCTGTAAACTTGGATTTTGTTGTTTAATATGTGCTGTAAACCATACTGTGTGGAATATGCGTTTGCGTGGGCCGACGTTCAACTCCCCCACGTTGCCTTTTCAGCCAAACGCTTTCAGGCACAGATTGAAAAGAGTTTGTAGCAACATACACGTGCTTTCACACCTGATAACTAAAAACGAATCAGTAATGAACACAGTCAGGTATCAGCACGTTCTCTATAAATGTGAACTATGCAAATACAACATGCAGCGCTGGACAATGTCATGTTGCAGCTACAGAGGCTCTTCTTTGCAATATGTGATCCGTCATTCTCTTTATCACTCTCTCTTTTTTTTTTTTCTCTCTCTCTCTCTCTGGCTGAGAATTTTAAAATGCCTCTGAGGTCTGGTTCATGAGTGCCAACATTGATTTGAGTGCCTGCAAGGGGAAAATCTCCCCTATAAACACGAGGTGTTTATGGAATACAGATGACGCTCTGACATCGCAGAGTTCCGCTGCAGGCTTTCAGCCACATGCGATGAGCTGAGCGGCAGGAAAATGAAGAGGAGGGACATGAGAGAAACCGGAGAGAGCGACAGCAATAGGAGAGAGAGTCGGTCTGGTAAAATGAAACAAGGCGAAAGCGGAGGCACGGAAAGAATGACAATTAGTGCAAAATGAAGTCGCCGCATGTTAGGGAAAGAATGACATGAAAAGACTGAAGGCAGGCACGCAGAGTATCACGGACATTTTCAGGGGAAAGAAAGAAAGAAAGAAGAAAAAAAAACCAGAGCTGGCATTTGAGGTGTAATTACGTACAGGTTATCAGACTTGTCGAGGCAGGCGTTATCGATCCCTGGGAATGACATCATGGTGTCCGCCAGATGGCTGGAGCGGGGGTTTTGGTTGCTGTGGAGCGAGAGAAACAGCTTTGGCTCAGAAATTTTACAATAATATGAAGTAACACGGACAAAAGGTTGTCTCATACGGCTCTGACATGGCATCAGTCGACAAACAGACTGACGCAACAGCCAGACAGCCAGGCAGATTTTAGTTAAGTTATGATTGATTTATTCAAATTGATCCTGGCGGCGGAGGTTTTTTTTACAAAGAATTAGAATTAAACGTGGGCATTTGTTAAGTTCTTAGTTGGAAATCCTGCTTAAGAGCAATGTACTAATTCACAGCGTTGTCAATAAAAACGCAGAAACAATCAGCGGTTTTAATTGAACACGGCTTGGAGGAATAAAAGAAGAGCACGTTTTACTTGCCGCTTTAGATTTAAGTTGATTTGTTTTATTTCCAACCATCCCTCGCCTTTAAACACACACACAGTTCAGTCATAAATAAGGACTCATTTGCACTGATCATAAAATTCACTCTGTACAGGTTCAGAAAATGTGGTGGTTTCGACCCGCAGTTGCATTGAGAGAAAACTGAAGCACCTTTGGCCCTGAAGTATACACACTATATATACGCTATAATATCCCTCTGCACCCCCCAAATGCAATCCTGACACTGATCTCTACAATAAATAATTAAATATCATTTTTCAATCTCCTTTGTATATATGAGGCTGAGGAGGACCGGGAGGGGAGTCCATACCGCCTTTGATTCAGATTGACACCTCAGCATTTTCTTCCTTGCTCTATATCCCCTTGATCAAACCAAGAGCACATCTTGAGAATGAAGACATCTCGCAATCTCCTGACACTCTTAATCTCTCTCACTTTGATCTTGCGTCGTAGCCGTCCTCATCACAATCATCTTTTACCCTCACGTTCTCTCCTGCTCCCTCTCTCTCGCTCTCTCTCTGTCTCCTTAAGGTCCATCTGCCCTTCAACAAACTCCAAACTCAAGTTCGTTTTATACCGTGACACGTCGTGCCCCGAAAACGAGCGCAGAAACGCGATGAGCCCGGTCGAGTAGACAGAGAAGCTCCCGGTCGGTGTTGCAGTTTCTGGCTTCGTGGTTTCAGGATTTAATTTTCTTTTTTCTTTTCTTGCATGTATGTATGACCGTCCACTTTGCCATGAACCACGTCAGTTACAGTATAAGAGTGGAGATAAACTGTAACGGCAGTGATGATGACATTTTCCTTTTGCCTTTGCAATCATTTTTTGTTTATGTACTACTCCAATTCCAAACAAAAAGTTTAAGGGTGTTTTCTGTTGTTGCTCTAACAACAAATTTTAAAACTTATCATCAAATAAGGTTTGGCGAATCAGCTGAAA